GTGTTCATATGCAGAATGAATTGAATACATTTTCCTGGTCCCAAGCCATGATATCAAACATCCATGAATTCATTCTTTCAACTATTAATAACAGTGCAGTAAATACCAGAAGGAGCTTTATATGTCATCACAAAACTTTCATTTGGAATTATCACATTTATTATCCCACTTAGCAGCAACTCACTGCCATACAACTGAATTTTCTTAGAGTGGAATATTAAGCAACTTTGCAGCAGCTCATTGATATACATGAATTATGTTTTTTTCAAAGTAAAGGTACTATACGCTACACTGAACTAATATTTAGGTTTTGGCTAGAAAACAGTTTCAGGTGATATCTTCCGCTAAAATTGATCTAAGATAAGTAGGGATAAAGAAAAGCAAGACCCTTTTTCATAAAGGATTTAAAGAATGCTCCTATTGCATCAAAGATTTTAGAGAAGGTAGGAATTTTTAGTCCAGCTCCTCCCCAAACACAGCATCCATCCAACAACACGTTGAATGATCTGTGAACACTTTTAGAAATATATACTTGGAAAAACTTAAATCAGAAACCATGGTTGCCTTCTTGACAAGTTATTTATAAAGATAAAGCATCAACTAGGTCTGTATCCGCAATTTATCCATACCAGAGTAAAAAAAAGTCTTCCAAAGTAACCTAGATGCCTAGTCCGTCAGAAAAATAATAGTGATCTCTCAACTAAATAGTCCTCCCTCCTTTTATTTCATTTCCCCCTAAAGCTTTGAATTGGTTTCTAAACCAAACGCCAGTCAGTTACAACAACATGCACATGCGCTTAAGTACTAATCCCAATTTTTCAACAACGCTTTTGACTCTTACCACTTATGGAAAAATTGATCATGACAACGAGAATACGAATAAAAAGCATGAGTACTTTTCTAGAAGCAATCAAAATCTCGCAACAGCTGAATCGAATTGAAAAATCTGAGTAACTTGATTCCTTCTATAGACAATTCCAGTAAATAATTTAAACTGCAACCAAGGCATGCGTGAAATAGAAAAGTGATTGATTAACAGAGATGAATTATAGTTGCCAGAAAATAGCACTTACTCATCAATTCCTTCATACACAGTTCCGAATGATCCACGACCTAAGAGCCCACCCTTCTGCCAACCCATAATAATGCATCTAAATCTCCCGTTGGGAGAAATATTAGACGTGGGCTCTGTCGTAGTACTTGAAGAATCATCATCATTTGAAGTTGTAAATGAAGGTGACTCTGATATCATAACATTCTCGCTTCTCATAACTACCATTCTCATATTATCCTCCTCTCTGTCTTCCTCTTGCTCGTCACTCCTCATACGCCTCCCCTCTTCTTGACCTCCCTCCAAACTAACCACAAAATCAGGAACTCTTTCACCTTTCAATAGCAAGTCCCAAGGTGAGCACGGGTTTTCTATCACCGGCAATGTTAGTGCAGGCACTGGCGCCAGAACGGGTAGCCGGACACCCTTACTACCATTTCCACGAAATTCATTCAATACGCTACTGACAATTTCACTCGAAATTTCATCACCTACCCTTGCACTATCTCCAAACCTGACCGTTAATTCATCAACACGACCACTAACACTAGGGTTCTCACTAAAACCCTCATTTTTCTCTCTAATAATTACATTACGTATGCTACTACCAACATCATCATTAATTCCAGCATCAATATCACGAGTATCAGCTTCAATTTTCCGATTAACTATAAGAGGAGCAGAAGAGGATCTGAACTTCATACTCTCATATTCCGCTGGAGATATCCCAAAATCATCTACCCCAGAAAACCCCAACGCATTGCAGATAATATCAATTTCACCCTCAATCCCCTCGATGCGAAAGCTCTTCTTGTCACTGTACAATTCGAGCGACCGAGTGCGAAGTGAAGAGTCCTCCGATGAGTAGTATGATGAAGACGATGTTGAGGGCGTAGAGGGATATAACTCGTAATTGATGTTATTATTGGCGTTCCGACGCTCGAGTCTCGGCAGCTTCTGCTTGGAGGCGGCTTGGCGGCGACTTCCGCCGGAATTGGAGCTGGATTTCATNGCGTTCCGACGCTCGAGTCTCGGCAGCTTCTGCTTGGAGGCGGCTTGGCGGCGACTTCCGCCGGAATTGGAGCTGGATTTCATTCGGGTTTTTCTTTGTTCTGACCTATGAATTAAGAATTTCGGTATTCGATGCATAATGATAGGAATCCAAATCCATCAATACCGTGAATTGAAAGAAAAGTTTTGAAATTTCTTTCCTTGCGACTCCGTAAGAAGAAGATATTTAGAAAAAGTGTGCGTGTATGTGTGTGTGTGTATGTGTGTGTGAGTGAGAGAGAGAGGGAGAGAGAGGAAATTATGTGTGTGCACAGGCGGAGAAGATTGGCGGAAAGGACGGAGAATGGTAATAGGAGGCGTCGGATAAAGAAAATGGTGTGCCAGGTTGGATCTACCCCTTTTCTCGCACATTGTGTGTGAAAAATAATAAATAAATAAATTGTGACTAGTCAATGCAGGCGTTGACTCAAATATTAAAAGGTTATAAATTTAGGCCTTGTTTGGAAACAATTTTAGGAGGAAAAAATTACTTTTCAATCAAAATTAAACTTTAATCTCAATTTTACATTCAAAAATATAATTCATTATTCACCATTTTTCTTTCTGAAAATTTGCTAATAATTTTTCTCTAAACTGAGTACTTAAAGAATTGTGTAGAGATGAGATTTTAGGTTTAAAAAATATATTCTTCAATGTAAGTTGACATGATAGGGAAAAAAAAGAGACAAAATCTAGAATTTCGTCTAAATTTAAAAGCTTGATCGGATGAGGAGACTACGAAAAATTAATATTTCATTCTCGAATTTAAAATTATATTTCTATTCAAATTCAGACATAGTTCTATAGTTATTTTAAAAAAGGAAAGACAAAAATATAACCATCGATCAAATCCACAACTTTTAATCTAATCTATATGACACGTGGAAGACGCTTTTACCTTGTTTGCTCGATTCCTAATTTACAAATTTTCACACATAGCTATACTAGCTTTCGGACCGATCCAAGTTTTAATCATTTATTTTATTTGAGTCATATAAATTTAAAAAAAAAAATTAATTCTCGTTTCATTTTAGACACTTTGTCTAATTCAGGAACAAAAAATATAGACAAAGTTTTTGAGCAGTACAGTTTATATAAAATAGATTAAGAGCGTAAAATAATAATCAGAAATAAAATTTTTGTTACATTGACGTCACGCATCGGCCAAGTCATACGTGAATTGTAATTGACGTCAGATATTATCAATGGTTTACTAAACCTTTGCATTACGACGAACTGCATGAGAAAGTTCTTGGCATCCGTATGGTATAACTTAAAATTTTTATATTAATTTAAGCTAAATTCAATAATAATTGTAATAATATATTTTTTAGAATTCACAACTTTTTAATTACACATTCCATTAATTTTTATCAAAATTTACTAAAAAATTAATTTTAATCCCCATTAAACGAGGACATAACTTACTATTAATCCCATGGTGTTAAAACGTATCTGATGACCCAAAACATTAATACCCCGAACTCGACCTAAATGGCCCGACCTAATTACCTAAACCCTTTTCAATACTATCACCCTTGAGGTCAGGGTCCATTTAGGTCGGGCCTTCCCCTTTAGGTCGGGTTTAGGGTCCCTTGATGCTATTTTTCCCACGTTTTATGAAAAGTATTTGTTCTACTTCGACTATGATTCTCAGTGATCCTTATTTTCATCACTAACTTATCACAACTCCATTCAAACTCAAATAGAACACTTTAACTGTAGCACAAATACTTCACACAATGAAGATAAGGATTGCAGATGGTTAAATCATATCCCAATTTTACTACCAACATCTATAAATACATAATCAAGGTTCATTATTCAAGTATGTTTTTCATTACTTTCAATTCATAGTCTTACGCTCTTTGTCTAATTTAAGCATCGGAAAGGCAACTAGAATACATATTGTTACCTTTGTTTTAGGTATCAAAAGATTGTTTGTGTTCATCGACAACCTTCAAGCTTGGTATTCAAGCTTTCAGTTCGAGATCTATCACATACAATTTTTGGTAGCATCAGTATCGAAACATTTTTGATAGGTTTGACGTCCCTTTCACAAAATATCAAAATGTGTAGAACTGTAAAGTCTGATATAAGTCGTGCCATGATTTCACCCAAGACACATCATGACGAATGATATTGAGCCCAAGTGTGCAGACTTGTGGTTCACGTAGATGAGTTGAGACGTATAACGTCTAAGGAAAAAAATACACTACACAAAATTTGTGCTAAGAAAAAGTGTGGGTCGACACAAGTCATGCTAGTCCTGAATAGCTAATTGCATAATGTTTCTAATAAAATTGTACATTTTTTGCTTGTGTATTTTAAAAGGGTAATTAGCACAAAACGTCTTTACCTTTTAATATTATTGTGTAAAACGTTCTTACCTTTCTTTTTTAACATTTTGATCCCTATTTTCACATTTCATTATGGAAAAATGTTATTTTCATCCAATTTATCAATAAAAAAAATGTAAGATACAAATATGTCCGTCTATTTAAATTAAACAAAAAAAGAAAAAGAAAAAATTAAATAACAAATTACAATTATACTCCTAAACTTTTTCAAAAACTGCAAATGAGCTCAAATAAATTATTAAAATGATAATTGGCACAAAATGTCCATACCTGTAATATTATTGTGCAATACGTCCATACCTTTTATTTTTTGACATTTTCACCATATTTTCACATTTCATTACGGAAATCATAATTTCATCCATTTTTTGATGAAAAATGTAAAATAACGAATATATCTTCATATTTAAATAAAATAAAAATAAAGAACAAATTGTAACTACATTCTCAAATTTTTTAAAAATTACAAATAAATTTTAAATAAATAATTAAAAACAAAAAAAAATACTTTCTTTTTCAATTATTTATTTGTACTTTTTTTTGAAATTTTTGGGAGTATAGCTGCAATTTATTCTTTTCTTTTTTTTTTTTTTTGCTTTATTATTATATGATGATATATTCGTCATTTTACAACTTTTAACTGATAAAGTAGATGAAAATGATGATTTTTGCAATGTAATGCGAAAATAAGGGTGATAAAACATTTTGCACAAAAATATTGAAAGGTATGAACGTTTGTGTTAATTACCCTTCTGCAATGAAATGTGAAAATGGTGATGGAAATGCCAAAAAAAAAAAAAATGAAAGGTAAAGACATTTTTGTACGATAACATTGAAAAGCTAAGAACGTATTGTGCTAATTATCCCATTCTGAAAATTATGTGAAGAAGAATTATGTATCATCTATTTCTAACTGCTGGTGTCATATACACTTTCAAGTTATAACAATCTTCTGTCGAAATCAATGTTTTTTCCATCGATATTTGAGACCAAACAACTTTGACAACTCTTATAATTCTCATTTTTGAATACTTTAAAAACATCTTTTGCTAATTCAGACATACTTCTATTCAACCTCGTTTTCATCCTTTCAGGTAGTAAAATCAATCTATGATTGTGATCATCTTCATATGATTTCATAATTCAGTAGCCTCAGTCAATGTCATTTGAAATTGGCACGTTAATCTTACATCTATCTCTAATTGTCAAGCAACTTCTTCATTTTGTAGAGTCGTCTTCTTTATGATTCTGACTTGATCATCCAACAATCTTCCTACCATAACATTTGCCTTCATGTGACCGCTCAAATTTAACAAAAGTGAGTGTGATCCGGTTGTTTGAGCGCGAATTAAAAAATCATTTAATAAGATCATTGATGGAAGAAAAACATAAAGAATCTAATAAACTTCGTCTCATCATCACAAGTAGTTTAATTAATCATCCGAAGAGCTTCAAAATTTTTAACATCCCATTTACATTGAATGAAAAATAAAAACAGAAAATCAAAAAATTGCATTCTTCTAAATTTGGTATTCCGGCAATATTAAAAACAGCACGAAGCACTCTCTGTAAAGTTTTTTTCCCAATAAATTAACTTATTCAACTTTAAACATATAGATGGAACAACTTCCATGCGATAATTAGAGCAAATAATATTCACAGCAGATGAATCGGTTGGCTGAAACTCTAGGCAATGGAGGAAATCAGGAAGAAAGATACTGAATCAATTTTGGTTACAATAAAACGTGTCTTGAAAACTTCGTATAAAAAATTTCCTTTTGAGTGTCTCGCTAATTCTCCTCCTAGTCTTGAAACTAAAACTGACAAATAATGCTACTTAGCACATATAGGGGTATAACCCCAGTCTATGTTACGTTCGGTGATAGGCTAAATGAAAAAAGGAATTATCTAGCGCTACTTAGATTAGAGTTATAATCCCAATGGGCCTAAATAGTATTATTCAAAACGTAAACAACCATGTAGAGTGATTTTCACCTATATTGCAATCAAATAAAAATTTTAGACCACTATAATTAATAATATTATGCCAAACTAGTCTACTTTCCTCACCGAATGCACACATACTTTCAAACCAACCTCGAAGTTTCTTCCAAATTATATCAACATTTTCAGTCATGAGGATAATTCACAACAAAATCTAATCTTCTACAGAACAAAAACAACTCCAACTTGTTCAAGAATAATAGCATTAGTTTTCTCTACCGTTACATTTAGGTTTACTCGTTTGTTTTTGTGGACGAGAAACCCTGGCATTTTCAAGCACATTCATTAATGTTTTGTACAAGGGACTCAAATTTTTTAATAGAACAGACCGACCTTCATATCTGAACTAACATAACAGATTCAGAAACACAGGCAGGGATGACCGGCAAACAATCTCAATTCCAGTTAGTCTACCTTTGAGGCAACTTGGTTATTCTGAATGAGAAGTCCAATACATCAGCCCACTGCAAGAAAATCATAGAAGTCAAGTCCCATAAATCATCAACCAATTGTTTAGCACATACAGATTATCTGTTTATATAGATTCAATAGTAGTCAAAGCTCTAGGAGTTCTTTTATCTTTCTTTTTATTTGGGGATTTTTGGGGAAAGGGGGCTTAAACCTGAATCCTAAATCGTAAACTTCCAACCAATTAACATGAGTTGCTCGTCGACATTTCGGCAGCGCTGACTTAGATAACAGAAGGAAGTGGGATGAGTAATGCCATACGTATCCACTTGGGATCATCCCCAAGTGATGTGGCATTAAATGTTAAGACCAGTCAAGTGGATCTCATATCTACACATTCACCCATTGTTTGACAAGCACTGCTTGAAAACTCTTTTTCCTACTTATTCATTTTTAACCACACATTCATACAATGAAATATTATGCATGTAAATCCAAAACATTTCCTTACTTTTTAACCACACATTCTCCTAAAAGTCACCATTCAAAACATTGTTTTTTCCAAACAATAGTCGTCAAACAAGGGCTTAATTTCACTCATTATTTCACTCCACATCACATAGGAATGATCCCACAGGAGACAAATAGCATTATTCGGAATACTTTCATAGTTCTCGTTCAGCACATTCAGGAAGATTGAGAGACCGAGCACCCCAAAGCACAAGCAAAAATCTGATACGCACTATAAAAAATTTCATACTAGCAGCTTGTATTGCTAAGCTTAAAAGTAATTTAAATTTACTTTCAAGTAACTTAAAACTCAATTAATTTACTTATAAGTAAATATTTTAAGCTTGACCAAATTATTCTCTGTCGATCAAAAATAAACCAAGAAACCAAAAATAAGTACCTGATTAGTACAAAGACACATTGAAAAACACCCGCAACTCCTGTCCAAGCTGGAGGTCCAGATTCCACCAGCGCATCTTGTATCAATAGGCCCACGGAAGCAGCCAAGCAGACGAAGGATACAACATATGCAATGAAAAGCCAAAGTTTGACCCTGCAATTTCAGAAATTGGAATGGTTCACAAAAAAAATTTATGCCACTTGCGAACTGCAAAATATTCTGCAACTATTATACAGTTATACCCGCGACAATTTTACAAAAGAATTTTTAAGTGAGGGGCAGATGTTTCCACCAAATTGCCATCTGGTTGGACGTATAAAATCATTGAGGAGCACTTGAGGCTAAGAAAC